CTGAGGCTCTGTCGCCTGTCCTTTCTGCTTCCTTGAGTACTGCTGATGGGTAGTGGCCTGCTCCACTCCCTGTGTTGGGTTTGGGGAAGGTATTTGGGTCCCAACATACTGTCCAAATATACAAAAAATACAAAAATTTTAAGAAAATTCCATATTTGATTCTTCAGCTCCTGCATTAGAGAAGCAGTTCTTCAGGTAAAACTGATTAAAAAGTCCTCTAAACACAAGAACGAATATCCAATAACCAAAGAAAATATGATTCTTGAATATAATAATCCAAAACAACTAGGTTTTAGGAATGACAATCCGAATATAGAAGGTTGTAGGCCTGTGGAACTAGAGAAGGGATCAAAACCCTTCTAAATTGAAGTAAATCTTCAAACCAATCAATGGAACATCTAAAGTAGGTCAGGGGAACACAAACTTTAGAATACAAGGCTGAACAGAACAGCCGATTGATAGAAATTACCAAAAAAAAAAAAAAATCACCTGGTAGGTGTCTTTTTCAGAGAAAACATGTTATCTTGGGTTGATCAAAACAGCCCTCAAAATGGTATTGAAAGTATTTTTGAATGGAGGTCTGAATCCCTTTCAATCACCCTTTTGAATCTCAGGTCTTGAATCAACTCAAATGCTCTAATACCATGACAACAAGAGGGATCAAACAAGAAGGAAGACAAACAGTTTTTAGGGTGTCAATGGAATAGTCGACCCTCACCCCAAAGAGCCTCTATTAGATTAAAATAGTATGTACAATTACAGAAATGCCCATAAAGGGCTAAAAGAGAAAAAGAACAAATACAAAGACTATAGATTACAATAATATTGTACAAAAGGGACTATGATAAAATTAATACATAAGTCTTAGAATCTCCACACCTATAGGTACTCGCCATTTTATCATATGGTAGTTCATGTATCACTTGGGGTAGCAACAACAAGCGTGCACTCAATTGGTAATTTTGTCTTTCATTTGATTGAAGAATGTTTATGTTTTATTGGAGGGTTGCAAAAAAGTGTCATGACCATGTGGACTAATCGAAACTAAATCACCTGGGCATGCACTCATAAGGTGGTTTTTGGTTTTAAATTTGATTATTAGCATATTTGTCATTTATTGAAGTGTTACAAGAAAGTTTTGTGGCCACATGAACTTATCGAAATCAAATCATCTAGGCATGCACTCACTGGGTGATTTGGTTTTTCTTTTGATTAATAGCATGTTAGTGTTTTATTGGAAGGTCACAAGAAAATATTTTGACCATGTGAACATATCACAACACATGTTAGGCTACCTTGGAATTTCTTAATTGTCATAGTAAGGTGGTAGACCTTAGAGGTTGCCTCTATTTTTTTCCTTTGTTAGTGGGCTATTTTATATCATTTAGGGTAGGAAAAAGGCATGCACCCATTGGGTGATTTGATTTTTCATTTGATTGTTAGCACGTTTGTGTTTTACTGTAGGGTTGCAAAAAAGTGTTGTGACCATATCAACTCATTGAAACCAAATCACCTATGCATGCACTCATTTAGTGATTTGGTTTTTCATTTTATTGATAACATTCTTGTGTTTCATTAGAGGGTTGCATGGAAGTGTTGTGGCCGTGTCACGTATGAACTCATCATTCAACATGTTAAGCTACCTTGGTATTTCTAAATTATCATAGTAAGGTAGTAGACCAGCTCCCAGTGTGAGCTTGTCTTACATTACCGGTCCCAAGCCTGGATAAAGGAGGGTGTATCAGGTTGACAGTCGGCACTAAAATTTTTGCTAGTCTCTTGATATGGATCTTTCTGAATTGCTTTCTTGTGGTTTTAATTAATCAGAGGTTTGAATCTTTGTTTTAACTTGATGTGTAAATAATTCAAAGAAAATCCAAAAATAAGTTGTTGAAATCAAGAAACAGTTGCATCAAAATAGAAAGAAGGGAGAAGAAGAGAATGATGAAAAAGAACACTCCAACCATGGGTCTTAATGAGATATCCCCCTAACTTTTATATCAACTTCTTTGAACTGTAAATACAATGACAATTCTGCCCTTATAAGTCAACTGGACAGAAATAAACAATTATAAAAGAATGACAAGCCCAAGGCCCACTAACAGCCCAATAACAAATAAGAATAACCAATTAGTTAAAACAGCCTAACAAGAATTAAACAACTGACCAAACATTATAAACAAAGGAAATTAATATCCTAGTTTGATCCTTCAGCATCATACATTTTAGTTTTCCTTCTGTCCATTTTCAGTTTGTGCATTGATTAATGTAGGATTTTTATGGCTCTGTAAATTGAATAGGCTTGGAATATATTTCTTGAATTGTGCAAGTTACATATATTACACATCAATTAGTAATAAACAAATTTATATAGGAAAATATTGCATAAATTAATTGATGTCATAGATTCCCTTCCTTCTCTAGGGGCCATTGCTTGGTGTAATGATAAAATATCAGGCTGAAATATGCGAAAACACTGGTTCAAGTCTGAGAGCAGCCACTTTGTGCTAAAGAAAAAGGTCAAGGTTAGGTCCATATCCTGTCTACTCCTCCCAAAACTCCATACAGCTGGAACCAAGATTGGGTAATGGCCTTTTTATAAATTCTCTGCATTTCTTCTGTAGTTATCTTTAAAATTCTAATGTAGGTTTTTTGTTTTTTCTTATAATTTACCAGGCTTCATGCATTCTTATGAAAAATGTGTAGAAGTGACACATTCATCTTTGCCACATGGTGCAGAGTTGTCAAATAGCAGAAGCCTTTGGGTCATCTTTTTTTGTCTTGGTTTACTTTTATTGCATTCAAGTCTCAGACTATAAAGACCTTGCCAGTTAATCAAAGCAGTTTTTAATTTGAAATTAAAAATATGTATTGTCCTGAATTTGGTCATCGAGTTATGTGTTTAATGACATCTTTTTGGAGCAGAGAAGGGATCATTAAAAAAATCACTAATGGAGCAAATAGAAGGGATTGCAGGCATCAAAACCTTGACAATGTTATTGTGGCCTAGGGGAAAGAACTCTGACAAATGTACCCTGATATAGTGATATTTCCTGATGACTGGGACATTCAGCTCTTGCTCAAGTAGACGTGACATGAATGTTACTATGTTAGTCAATTAGGTCATCTTCTTTGAATGGATAGAATCTATGTTGTGAACTGAAACATTATAACTCTGTTCCCATTAAGAGTCTACTGCTGTCTGCTTAGCTGGGAGGTTGAAGGATCTACATCAAAGGAGATTCTTAATTCGTCATCAATTGCTTTCTTAGGAAAATCACCCTTACATGGAGATGTAGCAAATTAGTTAAGGATTACCAAGTTATAGCCGAGCAATCAGGATTCCAGGTGGTGTATAGGCAAATATGGTGTGAAGGAAACCCAACTGCGGATTGACTCTCAAATAAAGGATTCAAAGCTGACTTTAACATCACATAACTACATAAGATCCCCCTAGGAGATTAGCTTCATTCTGTTTATGGACTCCTGGGGTTGTGCTTTGATTAGGCTGATTTCTGTTTATTCTTTTTTTTTTCCTTTTATATTGTCATTAATTACTTGAAAAAAAACTAACTAAGATTTCACTTCTATTAATTTCTTCAACGCTCGAGATTTGTGAATTTTGAACCATGAAAAGAAAGAATCCCAGTAAAACATATATCAATTTTTAGTAGGCAAAATCCTGGGATCTAGTGACTGAAGAACCATAGTTGAGTCTGAGACGCACCAAGTAAACCTGTCACGTTGCACTCTCATAGCTTCTGGGTCAACCAATGAACATCTCCCCTTTTAACACAACCTTCAGCAAACCACTACTGCTGTTCTCAAAGGGTTACAGAATTTTTTGGAAATTTTTGCAAAGATCAGATGGTTGAGATTGAATTGAACAGGGATCCAAAGACTTAGCATTAAACAACCACGAGACAACCATGACCACCATGCAGTTGCATTTTGACCAAGCTTTCAATTCCGTCGGTCTGGTGACGTCCGACCTACTTATTGTTCCATCCACGAATCCGATCTTATTTTTGGCAATGAGAGCAATGATCATTGCATGTCTCCAGATCAGATAATTTTCTCCATTCAGCAAGAATGATACCAATACTGCACCTAGGTTATCCGATGGATGAAGAAAATATGATGACGACAAATCTATAAAAGAATTGATGTCGCCGCTATAACTCAATTCTATAGTCATTTTGGCTACAGATCAGAAAAGTAAGGAAGACAAGAAGATAGAGAAGATCGTAGGTTAATTACGAACAAGAGAAAGGAGGACAGAAAGACGATTGATGATCAAGAAATGGGAAACCAGGGTTTTATGACCTGGTGCTCTCTGATACCATGTGAAAAATGAGGTTCGAAATGAGGAAATATGCATATGTATATTGATTTGAGACAAAAGGAGATATATATATATAGACAAAATACAGGTTGCGATAAGATGGGTTCCTGGGATGAGGTGACGTCCCTCCATTTGCGATGAGGTTTACAAAGCAGTTAAACAGTTTTAACTAACAATTTGACAGCTGTCTAAATAAACTATAGCTGTCTGTTTGTTTAAACTTTAACAATGTGTTAGTTCACGCGATGAGTGATAGAGGCCCCAGGCAGTAACGTGTCCTTTTTCTGGAACAGTTTGTCGTTTCATCTAGCAGAAAACTATCAAATAAGGTCTCTGTAATTCTCAACACGTCCAGGTGTCCAAGCTTCCTCCCCACGTAAACTCGGGTATATCTCTACAATTCCCTGCAAAATTTCAATCTTTGAGATTTCAGAAGAAATGATAGAATCAGGCCAACCCCATGAAGCCTTGTTCTTGGTCCTTCCTTACCTTCATTTGTTTCAGCTTCTTGTGATGAAGAAGGTGTGTAGATCAATAAGAGATGTAATTAACGGCGATGTGTTGCTGTGGCTGGATATTGTCGTTGAACCGCCTTTGAGTTTGCGGGTTTCTGATAATATCTTGGTGATGATTACGTCCAACGCACATGGTAGGTTAAGAACTCTGGCTCTGATAAATTGTGTGAGGATAACAGATGAAGCGCTTCAGAGGGTCATAGAGAACAACCCCCGTATCAATAAGGTATGTGATTACAAACTGAGAGCACCGTTTTGTTATTGATTCAGGCTAAACTACTCGGGTAGATTTCTTTTAAGCATAATAGCTCTGTGAATTCAGTAATCTGTTCGGAGCTTGGAATGGATAAGATAGATTGATTGATCTTCCTCCGTCTACTTGTCGCAGAAACTTACATTAAAATATTGAGTAGAAAAATTCAAATGAATATAGCAGTTGATTGGTGTGTCCTGAACCAGGCCTGGGCTGACCAGATGGAATGATTGAGTTTCCAACCAACCAGCCCAGATTGGCGTTATTGATTTTTGACCTAGATTTTAAGTCTTTTAACAGCCAAAGCCTAGCCCCTGATGTGAACAGAAAACCACAGGAAAAGATATTGAATTGAACAAGTATGATACTATGTGCAGTAATCGTGTATGTTTTATATTTCTAAAGAACAAGTATGCTTTTCTCTTAATCAAGAGGTATGCCAATATCTGGTGTTGAAGTTGTCGATCATTTATAGCACTTTAATTTCTTATTAAGTGCTTGGAGAGCTTCAGGAATGAAATGTTCTGTTTTAGTTTTTCACTTCATTGGAGGCCACTAGTTATCCTCTAAAGCAGATTCATTTGGAAATGTTGATGAAGATTAAAATTAAAGCCTTCTTGGATCTCAAAGGACATTCTAGTGTAAGTCAACATTTATTCGTATAAATTGAAATGAGATCATTTCATGCCATGGCTTCACAAAACACCTTATTGAAATAGAAGCTTATCACTGTTATGAGATTAGGTTGCTTCAGTGTCAGACTTGAAACAGTGGGTCTTGAGCTAATTATGCAAAAGAAGTTTATATTGGCGTGAGCTGTAAATTAGGGGATATCCCTTGAATTCAGGGATACCTCTTATCTTAAGTTTGTATGTAACTAGGAGAGATAGAACAAGTTTACGTGTAACTAGGAGAGGTGTGTATTGTGTATATATAACTCATTCTTTGCAAAGGAAGGATAATAAAAAAAAAATAGAAGAGCTTCTCCTTCTACTCGAGTTATCATGGTATCAGAGCGTCACGATCCGTGACAAACTCGACGTCTCGATCGCTGCGAAATCTTGGTCGCCGGTAGGTGACCACTGCTATTACCGCTGCAAGTCCGACGGTGGCTCTATCCACTGCTATTACCGCTGCAAGTCCGGCGGTGGCCCTATCGTATGGTGTTTTCCCTCTATCCATAACTATCAACCCCACCGCGGACCCCGGTGGTTGGCTACTACTACTGTCGTTGCAAGACCGACAATTGCTCTGCTAAGATCTCGCCGTCTCATCGTGGTCGCCGATAGCTGACAACTGCTACTGCCGCTGCAACCCGCTGATATTGCCGCTGTGAATTCTTGCTGAGTGCAACCCTCATCTTCTTCACATCAGAACTGTGATTCCACCGTGGTCACCGGTGGTTGACAACTGCTACTGCCGCTGCAATCTGCCTGCCTCTTCGCGATCTGCAACGACCAAACACCGTTCCCTAACACTCAGCGTTAGGGGAGATTGTTGACTTCCTTCTACTCCGCGACGCCATCGGAAGAACACCCTTCTACAGGCACAATCATGTCTGGTTCGGAAACCTCAGATCCATTTGGAGAACAACGGCCTAATCCTACCCTCACTGAATTGACCACCAGAATGACTGAACTCCTGCACAAACCGATCCTGACTGCAGAGACCTCCGCCGCTCAAATCGGTATTTAGTTGGACGACACCAACTATGCCCTTTGGTCCCAAGTTGTTGAGATGTATATCTCTGGCAGAGACAAACTGGGATATATTAATGGTGAACTTCCTCAGCCTCCACCGACTGACCCAACCTTTTGAAGGTGGCGCACCGACAACGCTATTGTCAAAGGTTGGTTAATTAACTCCATGGACATATCCTTGATTGGTAACTTTATTCGATTCCCTACAGCAAAGATGGTGTGGGATTCTATTGCTACTACGTACTTTGATGGCAGTGATACCTCACAAGTATACGATCTCCGGCGCCGTGTGACCTTTTTGCGCCAGTTTGGAGGGTCTCTTGAAAAGTACTATAATGACCTCCAAGGATTGTGGAGAGAAATTGATTTTTGTCGTCCGAATCCGATGGAGTGTGCGGTGGATATTCAATGGTACAATACTCTCCTTCAAGAAGAGAGAGTGTATATTTTCTTGGATGGCCTTGATGACAGACTAGACAAGATTCGGGCAGATGTACTCCAAATGCATCCGTTTCCCACTATTGAACAAGCATACACACATGTTCGGAGAGAAGCTATCCGACAGAGGGTCATGATCACCGGCAACAATACTGAAACTCCAGGAGCTGTTTTGGCCTCTAAAGGTGTTAAGACTGGGCAACCTACGCCCTCCTCAACGGGCTCTCTGCCTGCAAGCAACGAAAAATCTGGTATGTCCTCTAAATCTCGAGCATCTTCTGGTGGAACTAAATGTTCTCATTGTGGTAACTCAAAGCATACCCAGGAGAATTGCTTCAAGCTACATGGCTATCCCGACTGGTGGCATGAACTCCAAGCTCGGAAACGTCAAGACAAGGCCGAAACTAGTGGTAAGGTTGCAACGGTTATCTCTTGCAACAAACCTTGATTGGCCACTACACCAGTTCGATGTGAAGAACGCCTTCCTCCATGGTGATCTTGAAGATGAGGTATACATGGACATCCCACCTGGTTATACAACGAACTACAGCGAGCACTATATGGACTGAAACAATCACCACGGGCATGGTTTGGGAGGTTCAGTCTTGCGATGAGAAAATATGGCTTCCAACAAAGCAATTCAGATCATACACTATTTCTGAAGCACCAACGAGGAAGGGTGACAACTCTAATAATATATGTGGATGATATGATTATCACAGGGAATGATTCAGGAGAAATAGCAACACTGCAGAAGCAATTGGCAACTGAGTTTGAGATAAAGAACTTAGGCGGGCTCAAGTACTTTCTAGGAATTGAAGTTGCTAGATCAAAGGAAGGCATATTTCTGTCTCAACGGAAATACACCTTGGACTTGCTCTCCAAAGTGGGACAGTTAGAGTGCAAACCGGCAGATACACCAATCGTTCAAAACCATAGACTTGGAGAATATCCAAACCAAGTACCTACCAATAAGGAGAGATATCAAAGGTTGGTTGGTAAACTCATTTACCTCTCACATACTCGTCTAGACATCGCCTACGCCGTCAGCGTAGTAAGTTAGTTCATGCATTGCTCAAGCGAAGATCACATGAATGCTGTAATGCGGATTCTTCGATACTTGAAGTCCTCTCCTGGAAAAGGAATCATGTTCTCAAAAAATAATCATCTGAAGATAGAAGGCTACACAGATGCAGATTGGGCCGGAAATGTCTCAGATAGAAAATCCACCTCGGGGTACTTTACATTTGTCGGTGGAAATCTGGTCACATGGAGGAGTAAAAAAACAGAAGGTAGTAACCCTATCAAGCGCTGAAGCTGAGTTTCGAGGAATGGCTAAAGGGCTTTGCGAGCTACTCTGGCTTAGAAGATTGATGACTGAAATTGGTTTCCCCCCAACCTCTAAAATAGACCTATTATGTGATAACAAGGCAGCCATTGACATCTCTCAGAATCCCGTCCAACATGATCGAACAAAGCATGTGGAGGTGGACCGGCATTTCATCAAACAAAATATCGAGGACAGAATCATACGATTTCCCTTTGTCAAATCTGAAGACCAGCTGGCAGATATACTTACAAATGTTGTATCCAGTAAAAACTTCTACAACTCACTTGGCAAGTTGGGCATCCAAGATTTGTACGCACCAACGTGAGGGGGAGTATTGGCGTGAGCTGTAAATTAGGGGATATCCCTTGAATTCAGGGATACCTCTTATCTTAAGTTTGTATGTAACTAGGAGAGATAGAACAAGTTTACGTGTAACTAGGAGAGGTGTGTATTGTGTATATATAACTCATTCTTTGCAAAGGAAGGATAATAAAAAAAAAAATAGAAGAGCTTCTCCTTCTACTCGAGTTATCAGTTTAGAACCAATACATATTTTCAAAGCAATATGGGGTTCTGGGAGAGGTAGACTTAATGTAAATCTGTACTTCGAAAAAAAAAAAGACTTGGGCTCAGTTTGGAAGGAGTACAAATACAAATATGTACAGTGCAAATGCATACAAAATAATACAAAATACAAAGTTTTGTACTGTACATATTTGTATTTGTACTCCTTCCAAACTGAGCCTTGGTGTAATGAAGTAATCCCATCAAGTATGCTTTGTGCAGGAGCATGTAAAATTGTAAATGTGCCCTTAATTAAGCCAAATGGATATTTCTACTTACTGTTCACCAGAATGGCATGATCATGGAAAACTTTTTTTTGAGTGTAGGAGAATGAAAGACTAGTTCTAAATAAAGAATGTAAAGGGAGTGATTTTCACTATTCAGTTTTCACTGAATACTGAAAAATAGTGCAAGTGTTAGCATAGAGAACTCAGAAGGCTAGGTCATCTGCTATTAAAAGAAAATTGATCAGCTAAGCCCATTTAGCAAGGCATCAGAACCCATCAAACTAGCTATCAAAGCCTACAAGAACAAGTCAACCCCAGAAAATCATAGAAATCAGACACACAGAGGGCAAGGAGCAGGAGAGAACTTTGGCTCCTATTAAATTGTAGGTGCAATCACTTTTTCGCGGTGAATGTTAAAACCACCTCATCCAACATTCAAAAATTTTCACAAAAACAAGGAGGCTTGGCGTTGTCTTCCATTGTCAAAAGCGATTGTACCTACAATTTAAAAGGATTGAAAGTTTTTTCAAGGAGCAGGTCTCATCAAGTCATTAAACCAGGTGGACTCGAGAAGTAAAAATATGCAAGGATTTTCTTATGCATAAAGCTGATGATAGGCAAGAAAACAAACACCAATATGACTGGGTCATGTATTGCTGTTTTGGTAAAACAGGGCCTAATAGATTTGATGCTTGTGTATTGGTTCAGCTTTACATACCAGGATGCACTAGCTTAACAGCTGATGGCATTGTGAGAGCAGTGAAGAAGCTGACTGAGCATAACCATGACTTGAAGCGCCTGAGGCTGCATGGTGTCTATGGAATAACCAGACAACACATTGAAACTCTCTACTCCTGTCTTAACATAAGCCAATTGCAACAAGAGCAGCAGAAACAGCACTCAACATTCCGCGACTATAGATGCTTCTCACCACTCAGACATGAGAGCACCACTAGTCCAATTGATGTGGAGGTCTGCCCAAGGTGCAAGGATATAAGACTGGTATTTGATTGCCCAAGGGAGAGCTGCAATAGGACTGAGCCACTATCATCTGAATGCAGAGGATGCTTCTTTTGCATTCCAAGGTGTGTGGAGTGCGGTGGATGCATCGACTTGACAGAGATGGGGCACACCATTTGCATAGATTTCTTGTGTTTGGACTGCTGGATTCCGCTTCCAAAATGCAATATGTGTAACAAGGCATACTGCAGTCTCCATGCTGATCAACAACGAAATCCGGGTGATGTTACTGGATTTATATGTGAAGCTTGTTTTACCTTATCAACTGGAGCTATGGCCCGAACTTCTTCAGAATCAGAACATGAAGAAGATATAATCGAGGATTAATGTGCTTACATGTAACAAACACAAACATTGTTTTGATTACTATGATTTTTGTTTGTCTTTGTATCAGAAATCGTAATTGGGTTCAAAAGCATGAAAATATAAGGCCGAGCTTCCATTAGTGCTTGAGTAGGCATTTCACAAGCTCCCCACATCAGGGGAAAAAAACAAAACAGAAACACTAAGGTGATGTTTGGCATCAATGATGATTTTTCCTTGCTGATTATCCAAAAAGTGGTGATATAAGTGATTTCTGGAATCAGTGATTTTTTGAAAAATCATAAAAAAATGTTGTTTGGTATAATTTCTGCTATGTAAGCTAATTTTTGAGAAATTGGAAATCGGCTTTGAGGGTTGATTGTTTTGTATTATAATTATTATTCAATGCCATGTCATCCTCAGAATCAGTTAAAAACCAGGAAATCATCAATCCCTGAAAAAGGGCTGATATCAATAATCGATTTTTGGCTGCTTTTCAGAAATCGGCATAATTGGCCAACCAAACAAGAAAAAAAAAAGCATTGATTCTTTAAATTCTGATGTGGATCTTACTTGGTGCTGATTTCCAGAAAATAATCATCAATGCCAAACATTACCTAAATAAATGTGCTTGGCAATTTTTTTTTAATTGTTTTGCAATGATTAACTCCGTGATAGTTAAAATTGATGATTTTTTAGTATATGTTTAGTATCGATGCTTCAAAAAATGGTGTTGCTGATGTATGGGTTAAGTATTTATTTTTTTTTGAAATTGTTGCTGCCAGGTAGGATGTTCCCTGGAGCAACAACAACGTTTTTTGTTTGGTACCAATGCTCCAAAAAACATTTTCAGCATTGGTACTCATTATCTAGTGCCACATCACTGTTTGGTAACAACGAGTTGCAACTCCAAGAAATGCCAAATTTGGCGTTACTCCAAGCCATGCCTTCCCGATTTCCAAAGCGTGGCTTGGTTTTTTTATGGAAAAACGGTTCCAAACAAATGCTTGTTTCTTCGAGCACCATTTTTTCAACATGGTACTGATGTGGCACTATTTTCTGGAGCAATGTCAACTATGCCAAACAGACGCTGAATTGCCTTGGTGATCCCACTAAAGTGATGTGGCATGATCTTTTTTGAGACATCATACAGTTATCATTATAAGTATATTATAATAATAAGTCAAAACACTTCAAGGCAGACAGCCTGCATCTCTTCTAAATACCATCTTTTTGGTGTTTTCCAGAAAAACAGGTAAAAGAGACACTTGATAGGTGTTTGGTACCGTGGCTGTTTCTAGTGAGGTGTTTTCTGGAGGAAACAGCAGTGTAACACCTCACTAGAAACAGCCACAAAATGGCTTATTTGTGGTTATGAGTTATGCGGATACATAGGAGGAGCCATTACTGCGAGTACTGGCCTCTTCTTCAAAACACCTTTTTGGAGTTACGTGGATTTCAACTTCCAAAGTGTTTCCGTTTCTGCTCGTTTATCACTTAAAATGGTCTAACTAAACATGCTTTTTTTTACCGTTGAAGTATAATCTCCTATGTGATGTCTACGTAAACTCGAAACGGATACACAATACCATGATACCAAATAATACCTTATAAAATGCTACAGTGCCAAATACCTATTAAATCAGCTGACCTAAACTGGAGACAGTACGAGGGAAAACGGGCGGTTGGTGAGGCTAATAAAGAATTGCTCACGTTCTGCTGGCTGGCATGGACAATCCAGACTAGACTAGAAAATTGCCATCCGGATCCCTGAAAATACACGGTTAGCTGGGTCTGTTCAAGAATTCCCACCTCAGTATCATACTCTTGCGTTTGATATCTGTTACTAAAAACCGACTAGGAGGCTGCTCCATTTTTGCCTCCGGGTCATGAGTTAGCGATTTGGCACCTTGAATCAATCGCACATATCACAATCATCCAAATGTATCCGGTTCCTTTTCTTAGATCGGTTTCAGTAAGTGCAAAACCCATTTTCGAACAGCCTTTACAGCATTACATTAGGAATATCTCCATACTTATGTGCATTATTTCATGGGGAGATATTCCCAATGCAAGGCACAGGATTTGCACCACTGAATCCGGTTTCTTCAGATTGGACCCAAAGACAGGCTCAGATCCTTAACTGCATACTCGGATCAGATTCCAACCACTCATTACTTACCTACCAACAATGGAAAATTGTGATCAAATATTTGTAGAATCCACTTTAGTCAAGAATCAGAACCCATTGTTCAGATTTAATTAATCTTGGCCCGTCTGTGCAGATGCCTGTCTCTGACGCTCCTTGTGCCGAACTCCCGTTGGGTTTGTTGTAACAGCTGAAGCCGTTTATGTTACAGGAAAAGTGGCAGTTCCGCACCTGTTTCTCACTTGGCATACCCTCCAAGAAAGGAAACCTTTGTCCACATTTGAAATTCCTGGACAGAATCGTTGGATATTTGGGATTTGGGATTTGGAATTGAAAATTCAAGCTGAAAAGTAAAGGAGGATATAACTAACAAACGTGGGCAACCAGAGAAAAATATCATTTCTAGCAGAAAAAGGTATCTCTGATGCCTGATTAAACAAAATCTAATTAGTCCAAGAACATAGATTGGTAAACGCTATAAGACACTTAAAAAATGAAGTCTGAAACCATATATTGAGTATAGACCAAAGTGATTGGTTGGCCAACTGCTGGAGACACCATCAAACGCCAATTCTTGCCAAATTTTACTTATGTGCAAACTTGTGGGTATGGGCATGACTTAAAAGAGTGTTAAGTACTGACTCTGAGACTATAAATCCTTGTTACTACTTTCTACCAAAGTCACAAAGGATTGTAACCAAGAGCTGAAACATGGCCTGGCATAGACCAGCATTTTCTATCATGATTGCTATGGCCATGGTAGCCATGGCTTCAGCAGCAGAACCAGTCACATTTGTCTTTGGTGACTCGTTGACAGAGGTGGGAAACAACAATTATCTCCAATCTCTTGCAAAATCGAATTACCCTTGGTATGGGGTTGATTATATTGGAGGGCAGCCAACAGGAAGATTCACAAATGGCAGAACAATTGGCGACATTATCTGTAATCCATTCTGTTTTGCTTGGAACTACTTCAACTGATACATCATCATGCATGTTTATAACTGTTTTGTTCACTCTGGTTGCTTTACTTTGCAGCTGCAAAGCTTGGCATTCCATCACCACCGCCTTATCTGTCCTTGTCTCCAAATGATGATAAAATTCTCAAGGGAGTCAACTATGCTTCTGGTGGAGCTGGCATTCTCAATGATACCGGACTCTATTTTGTAATTCCCATCTTTTTCCCTTTTTTTCATTCCTCTGTCATATTTTCTGACTATATTCTATCTGTTTGTTTGGACTGCAGATTCAGAGACTGTCTTTTGATGACCAGATAAGTTACTTTGAGAAGACAAAGGAAGCAATCAAGGCTAAAATTGGAGAAGAGGCTGCAAACAAGCTATGCAATGAGGCTATCTACTTCATTGGAATAGGTACAATTTACAAATGGAGAACACTAGTTGTCTCACTTGTTTCTACTTTCAAAAGTTTTCTATTTCTGCAACTATCACTATAATGATATTCCACTGTTAATTTCAGGAAGCAATGACTATGTAAACAATTTTCTCCAGCCCTTCTTAGCAGATGGTCAACAGTACACACACGATGATTTCATGGATCTCTTAATCTCTACCTTGGAACGACAACTTAGGGTATACTCAGAACTATCAATCTGATCTCTTTTTAGACTCTGGGATCAAAACAATTAGACCCACCTCTGCCTGGCCTGAAATTACGACTTAGTTCTTTTATCAGTGATTCTATTTTATCAAATTCTAAACCAGATCCTCACTAATTGCTTACTTCTTTTGGATTGCTTATGAAGAGGCTATATCAACTTGGAGCTCGACAAATTGTTTTCAATGATATTGGTCCCCTGGGCTGCATTCCTTCCCAGAGGGTGAAGTCCAAAATGGGAGGATGCTTGAAGCAAGTTAACCAGTGGATCCTGCAATACAACTCAAGGGCACAAAGCCTACTTATCTCCCTCAATCGTCGACTGCCTTCTACACGCTTCATCTTTGCAAATTCTTATTTAACTGTTCTGGATATAATCATGAATCCAACTAGCTATGGTTAGGAGCTTTTCATTTCTTCTTCACAATTCAAGCTCAAAAGCCAGACCCAACATTTATCGGTTCTTGCAGGTTTCAAGTTTTCCAACACTTCCTGCTGCAATGTGGATACAACCATTGGAGGGCTCTGCTTGCCCAACTCAAAACTATGTAGCAACCGCAAGGAGTATGTGTTTTGGGATGCCTTCCACCCCACAGATGCTGCAAATCAAGTTATTGCTGATCGCCTTTTCTCCACTGTGTTTCACGTCAAACCCCCTGTCCATGCACCATCACCCTCTCCATTCAACGCTCCCGCCTCTCTAAAACACTCCCCTGCACCTAACCTCAAACCTTCTCCCACTTCTAGGCTCTGATTCATATGGAGATTGAAACTAAGAACTGTTTTAGGAGTTGTACAAGTCGATCATTTTGGTATAAATGAATTACTGTTCAAGAAGACAACATTTTTTCTTGTTGATACAGAAAAAATCTTATTCCACCACCCTGTTGTGGTGCCATATGGGACCGTATGTTAAACATTAGAGTAATATATAAATTCCTAATTGGGTTGACAATTGTAGAAGGAAGGCAATTCAAATTCAAATCTTCAACTTTGATTAAAAAGACTAATAGAGAATAGGCAAAATGCTTATTTAATTCAACCCCATCCCAAGAAATTCCAGAAATCTCAATTGCAACCAAGTTAAAACATGGATGAATTGCACATAACCATAAATAAAAAAAAAATCTTTTTAATTTCAATCCCATCTGAAAACTATCAAAAAATCGAAGTTCAAAAAGGATGAATTGCCAAAAATTGAAAAGAGTGACAGAGTGCTTGCTCTCAGTCGAATGGCCAAAGTTTTCCACATTAGAACCTTGAGAGGAACCATCTTCATAGTTCATCAGAAAACTTACTTCGACGCTAGGCGAAGCTTTCTTCTTCTCTTTAAAAGTGGGTTTGATTGAGCGACTGCCCACAAGAGCAAAATCAAAGCAAATCCCGCTTCTAAAGAGAAGAGTCACGAAGCAACACCCAGAATCAAAGAAATCCTCCGATCGACATACAAAGATAGGAAACCCTCCCTTGGCTTCTCTTCAGTGTGGTTAAAGCAAAACGATCATCCTCGAGCAGATCCATGTATTTTTCCCAATCAAAGAGACCAGCAAATGAAAAACAGATCGAAGGAGACAAAGCAAAGAAAGAAACTGTAGAACCTACGAGAAAAAGCGAGAATCCAGTAGGGAAAGGATTTCGCACGTCCACAAGTACTTTTTTGTAAATTTGATTTCGCACCCTTAACGTAATCCCTCTGCCTTGAGATCCGCAGAGAAACTCATACAAGATGCTTCAATCGATTAAGAACACAACAGAGAAAAAAAAAAAAAAAAAAAAAAAAACAAAAAATTCCTACAGCGATTAGGGTTTCAACGGGATGGCAACAAAACAAAAATCAAAACTCAAAAAAGAGTTTCGATGAACCGATGAAGGGTGGCCGACTGGCCGATTTATATAGACAGCATTTTGCCATGAAATTAGGGTTTCGACTGAAGTTATATTGGCCTCAAAGTTTCCGTAAAATACGTTAATGCCCCGATTAGGTCCCCGCCTCCCGGCTATTGATACACAAAATCTACGATACCGGAAAGGTAGGATACCAAAAAGCTTTGACCTAACCAATGGTTTTCATAATCATAGATTCCACTTTATCTGCTCGCGACATATCAAAACGTTGCATAAACTTGTAGACTTCTAATTAGTTGTACTCATTTTTACTAAGCATTAATTTTATGCAACTTTTAATAGGTAATCATGTATTGAGTTGTAATAATTAAGGGCCTGTTTGGTTTTTCAGAATAAGGGTTTGAACTCGGAGTTAGAATCCAATTCTTTGGTCGGATAGAATTCAAATCCAGTTCTCATTCTTAGTATAATAGCATCTCCCCATTCGAGGGGATTAGTAAGTGTACATATGTTTTGCATGTGGTAATTCTAGATGATGATAATGATAATAATATTATATCCAAAATTTTTTATAAATTTTATATGTTGTTTATTTTTATTTTTGTTTTTTTATTAGTAATCGGATGTACATTACAAAATCCAAATCTAATCATATAAACACATCAACCAAATATGTGATAATCAAATCGAGTTGTGAAGTTTCAAGTATCATTGAAAAGCCTACCTGCTTTGTTACACTCTTTTTTTTGTAATGTTTTATCTTTTTGGTGTATCTCTCTCTCTCTCTCTCTCTCTTTGTTCATTTATCAAAAAAATTGTAAGATTTAAATATAGGAAATTGAATAAGGTGAAAAATAATAATTCAATTTACAATTTAAACCTTACAATTAAATAGGGACTAAATTAAAATATGAGTATTTTAATCAAAATAAAGTTTCACAATCTTATTCATATTTTTAATAGTAGTGTAAATATAGAATTATAGATGTGTTCAATTTTTTTATACTTTTTTTTTGTATTTTTGTGTGTAAAACTAATTATGATATGTCACATTTACTTTTTGTTTAATATGATAAATATATTATATTATACATGTGTCTAAACGATTTTTTTGCAAAATTTATGTTTTTCTTCATTTTTATATTTTATTAATTTTTATTATTTATGACATTAAAGGTTAACACATTTAACCCAAAAGTTTAACTATTTATAATTAATTTTATATTTCATTTTTGGCCAATTCTCAATTATGTACTTCATTTTCATTATCAATAAAAATAATTCTTGTTTATTACATTTAGTTTTTAAAATTGATTAATAAAAATATCATAAATGTGTATAATTTTTTCTATATTTATTTTTATTACTTAAGTATAACTTCATAAGTTGATCAATTTGATTCAAATGGTTGAATTTCTTAACCACCACTTGGATAAAGAATGGTTTTATTTTTGAGTCAGTTTTAAAATATATGGCTTTATATTGTTAAAAGTATTAACATAAATTTAATTAGTAGCCATTAAAGATGAAACAAATGAAGTGAAAATTAATAATTAAAATTACATTTTCAACCCTTACAATTAAAGATGGACTAAATACATAAATATGAGCATTTTATTAACCATTAAAACTATAATAAAATAACTTTTATACCCTTTCTCAAACAAAAAAATAGAGGGCAGTTTTAGTTCAAAAAGCATTTCACACTGCATCTACACACACACACACACACACACACACACATATATATATATAAACCATTACAATTTTTATTATGATGAATTTCAATTCCAGTTTTGATTATGGTTCTACTTACAATTCCACTCATGCGATAAATCAAAAAATCAATACTACAAAACAATATCCTATTTTTTATGGGTACATATAAACTATATGGATGATTTATCCTATGCCTGAAAAATCTTCACATACCTCTTGGGCCTTGTACTTTTGTTTGTTTTATCTTACGTTTAAAAAGTAAACTTTTTTCATACTTCAAATCCTTCTTTTAATACCTCTTTTAACACCGGTATAGACATAGATTTGACAACATTCTTATTTTTTTATACATAGAATGCCCTTTTTGCAATTTATTCATACTTCATTATTAGTAACACACTCTTATTATACTTTATTAAAATTATATAAATAAAATATCAATAATCATAATATATTAAAAAAAGAATATTTCTATAATTATTTTTAATGCATTATTTAACTATTTTTTATTAATATTTGTACTATTTTATTTTTATTATTATTATTATATTTAATTATTTGATTATTAATATTTTCTATTATAGAATAATATGTTCACAATATAATAAAAATATATTGAAATATTAACATATTAATATATTATTATTATTATTATTATTATTATTTGTGTTGTTATTTGTTTAATGACTATGTTTATTAATGTTTTTGTTATTATTAAAATTTTCCTTTTTATTATTTTATTTATATTTTGCTGTTTATTTATATTTTTGTTATTTTTTTATAAATATTCATTCTAAGATTCAACTCTGGGAGTAAAATGGTAAATTATCCATTTTCAAAATTCAACATACAAATTTCAAAACAACATTCTCTACACTCAATCAGACAAAACAAAGATTCATAAAATCTTCATATTACTTTCATTCAAAGCTTTGTTGCTTTTTTAGACTACATTTTTTTTTTTTTTGCTTCATGGGACTACACAATGAGAGTAGCCCATCCCCCTCCCCTTAATCCCAACCTTGGCAGCAATGAGATTTGATCCCAGGTCTCTGCTACAACGAGTCAGAGATCTCACCAACTGAACCACCATCAGTTGGTTAGACTACAAACTTTTTTATTATACGAGGAAAAAAAACCTAACAAAGCATGGATCTATCCCATATGTCCATGGAACATATGTAGGTAAGGGCCCAAGGGAAATTATCAACTAGTTCTACTAAGCCCGAATGGCCTAGACTTTCCAACCAATCCACAACTTGATTTCCTTCTCTTTGTGTATGAAAATACACATTTGAAGCTCGTAGTCATCCATGATTTTTATAGTACTCTGAGCATCTTCAAGGAGGGTGATTTACTCCAAGAAGGCAACCAAACGATTACTTCAAATCTCCTTCAATCCAAATGTTGTTAAATCCGCTTTGAGCTTTTATCTTGAGTGTCTCTACAACTGCCCTACATTCAGCCACATTGATGGAGGTGGCACCTATGAATCCATCTTTTGTATTCAGCACTCAACCTAAAGAATCTCTTGCAATACATCCAAACAAATAGACTCCATTAGACTTCAGAAAAGCATCAAAGTTGAATTTTAGAGTTCCTTCTCTAGGCAAAGTCCATTTAACCCAAACTTTGTTTTTCTTTGTTAGGTCTTTGGAAATTATATTTATATATTCTGTGAGTGCTTTTGTTGCAAATTCCATTAACCTACTCAGATTCTCAAACTTGTCTTAAAATAATTTATTACATTTGTTTTTCCAAACAAACTATAGGAGGAAATAGTGTATTTGCATAGGATATTGACATTTTCTGAATATGTCTTCCTACTCCCCACAAAAAGGTGCAATCTTTGTAGGGCAATTTCCCCTCTAAATCTAGCCACATAAAGAATTTATTTTTGGGGGAATAATATATTTTCCTTTTTTTCTCCACATTTGGAGTTTTTCCTTGTTCAACTCTTGTCCTTAGCATAATGCTTTGAAAGCCCATTTAACCATGAAAGTTCCTTTTGCATCCAACTTCCATCTTAACTTATCTTCCTGTGGGTGCATCAAGATTGGGATTGCTCTAATTTCTTCTATTGACCTCTCTAGAACCTAACCCCTTAATATCTCTATACTCCAAGTTTTTGTATTTGGATCAATTAAATCTTTTACCTACAAGTTCAAAAGATTAACTTATCTTCTTGCTCAATATTAACGATTACTGGGCTCAATTCAAGCAAAGGGGTCTTTGAGGAAAATTATACTTTCTCCATTACCTAGTTCCTTGCAAAGTC